GTGATGTGTGTGTACTCATTTCATTCTCACAAAAGCCCCATGAGGTAGGAACTATTCTTTTTTCTTTTTTTCTTTTTTCTTTTTTTTAAGACAGGGTCTTGCTCTATCACCCAGGCTGGAGTACGGTGGTGTCATCATGGCTCACTGCAATCTCAGCCTCCTGGGGCTCAAGTGATCCTCCCACCTCAGCCTCCCAAGTAGCTGGGACTACAGGCGTGCACCACCATGCCCAGATAATTTTTTTATTTTTTGGAGAAACAGGGTTTCACAATGTTGCCCAAGCTGGTCTTGAACTCCTGGGCTCAAGTGAGTTACCTGCCTCAGCCTCCCAAAGTGCTGGGATTACAGGTGTGAGTCACCATGCCCAGCTTGCAAGGACTGGTCTTATGCCCATTTTGTAAATGAAAAAGCTGAAGTGCTGACAAATGAATGACCTGCCCAAATCACATAGCTAGTAAGTTGTAGAACTGAAGTTCAAACACTAACAGGCATGGCCCAGAAGCCACATTATGTGTTATTGCTCTCGCCAACTTAAATCCATGTGTGGGGATCACAACATTACTAGAAAAGCCACCCAAAGAAGCTGGACTTGCCCCTTTTCCATGTCCCATGAGATATCTGGAGGCACAGGATGTCTATGGAGGGTAATCTCTGACAGGGCACAGCCTGCCCCCGAGGGTGTCCAGCTCTGCAGGTGAGTGGCCCAGAGGCACACACTGACTTGCAGCTGTGGACGTGCAGGAAGCTCAGCATGCACAAGGTCAGCATGCTGGACGTTCTCACAGTGTCCCCCGCCCATTAATCCCCACAGGCTGCACGGCCAGCTTTGACTGCAAAAGCAAAATCTTTTTTTGATTGAGATTATGGCCTTTTATGACAGCTCCCAAAAAGGAAAAGGATTATTGCTTGATAAAGGAAAAATTCTTACTGAAATGAAGTGTGGCAGCTTTGCCTTGCAGCAAGCACAATGTTGGTGATGAGGGAGAGTAGATTCCTAAGAGGAAAGACCCTCAGGAGCACAGCGGGGGATAAAAACCAGGAAAGATGGTTAATTGTCAGAAAAGGAAAAAGCATAATCGTGTCTGTTCCCTACCTGAAAGTGGAATAAATGTGCTGCAATGGGTAAGAGTTCTGGAGTGAATTGAACATAAGCCCAATAGAAGGAGCAATAATTCACCCCCTCCTAAGCATGGGTTTTTTGGTTTATACAGCACGAAGTTCAAATTCAAGGGCCGACACTCGTTGCATAATGTTAGGCAGGTTACTGAACTACATTCGAGTTGCTGTGAAAGCAATCTGCACCGCACTTGGCACAGAGTAGGCGCTCCACAGATGTTCTCTTCCACATCCCCCTTGCTGCTGATGCCCTCTAGGGGGCAGAAACCACCTCTTCCACACTGCCAGTCTGTTTCTCCTGACCTGAGGTTCCTCAGCATCCTCTCAACATGCTTACTAAAAACTGTAATTACTAGAGTTCAGCAGAGAGTGAGGTGACAAAACAGTGAGTGGACATATTGTTCTGAAAACACCAGGCACAGTCCAAAAAACAAGATTAAAAGGCACAGAAAAAGAGAAAGAGAACCAATCCAGAAGGGTCTCATTCTAAGTCCTACCCTACCCAATATGTACCCTTACGTACATCACTCAACACACCTGCATCTCAATTTTCTTACCTGCAAAATGGTAGCATAGGAAGGGATCACTTTTATAATGTAAGCATTTTACACTGTAAGTTTCCCTCTGAACATTGTTTTAGTACATCATAAAATTTTTTGATATGTTACATGCTTTTTCATTTAATGCAAAGCATTATATAATTTTTCTTGTGATTTATGTTTTGACTCATTGGATATAGAGAAATATATTGCTTACTTTCCAAATTATATCCCAGGCAGCTTTGTGTTACTCATTTCTCATTTAATTATCTGTGTTCAGAGAACATACCAGCTTAATTCATGCCTATCTTGGTGAGTGTCCCATGTACATACCCATTTTGTTATAGATGTGTAAAATGTTTTATAAGTGTTAATGAGGTCAAGTTGACTTATAATTTGTCGAGGTATCTAAATCCTTACTGATTTTGTGTCTGCTGTTTTTTTTTTTAATTACTGAGAGAGGAGTGCTAAAATCTCCAAGTATAATTGTGAATTTGTGTATTTTTCTTCTCACTTTCATCAAGTTTTGCTTTATATATTTTACACTGTGATTAGGTACAGAAATAATAAGGACTGTTGTGCCTTCTTGATGAATTGAGCTTTCTGCCATTATAAAATGTGATTCTATATTCTTAATGGTATCCTTCCTTCTGAAGTCTACTTAGTCTGATATTAACATAGCTACACCACCTTTCTTATGATTAGTGTTTATATGGCATGTCATTTTTCATCCTTTCATTTTTAACCTATCTCTAAGTTTATATTTAAAGTGGATTTCTTGTAGACAGCATAGATTTGGGTCTTGCTCTTTGTATCCATTCTGACAATCTCTGCCTTTTGATTGGAGCACCTAGACCTTGTATATTTAGTGTAATTATTAACATGACTATCTTTTACATCTATGATCTTGCCATTTGTTTTCTATTTGTCTCATCTGCTCTTTGTTTCTATTTTTCTCCTTTCTGTCTTCTTTTGTATTGGGTATTTAGTAATATTGCATTTTATCTCCACTGTTGGCTTATTATAAATGATTAATTTTTTCAGTCATTTCGATAGATTTTACAATATGAATATGTAAACTATTATAATTTAACTTCAAATAATATTATATTACTTCACATATAAGAACCTTGCAGCTGTACAGTTTCATTTGTGTCTCTCACATTTTGGAACAGTTTCTAAACATTTTATTTCTACATATGTTATAAACCACAGAATACGCATTAATTTTCCTTGAAATGGTCCATTATCTCTTAAAGACAATTTTTAAGAGAAAAAGTATTTTATATTTACCTACATGGTTATCATTTTTGGCGCTTCTTATTACTTTGTATAGATCTCATCAATTCTTTTTCCTTTCAACCTGAATGACTTTCTTTAATAAATCTTATGTATATGTTTATTAATAAATTCTCTCAGCTTTTGTTCTTTAGAAAATGTCTTTATTCTGTTTTCATATTAGAATAGTACTTTCACTGGATATGAAATTCTGTATTAAGAGAGTTTGAGATTTTGTGTCTGTTTGGGCTGCCATAACAAAATATCATAGACTGTATAGCTTAAACAACAGAAACTTATTTTCTCACAGTTCTGGAGGCTACAAGCCTCAGATCAAGGCCTAGCATGGTCAGTTTCTGGTGAAGGCCCTCTTACTGGCTTGCAGACAGCCACTGTCTCAATTTGTTCTGACATGGTAGAGAGGGAAAGAGCAAGCTCTCCGGCATCTCTTCTTATAAAGACACTAACGCCATCAGGACAGAGCCCTACTCTTATTACTTTGTTTAATCTTAACTGCTTCCTTACTCCAAATACAGCCACACTGGCATTTAAGGCTTCAACATATGATTTGGGGGTGGAGGGGGTGGATACATACATTCAATGTGTAACAGATTTTAATTTTTTTAGTACATTAAAAATGCAATTCTATTGTCTTCTGGTTTGTTTCTGCCAGTATCCTGCAGTCATTCTTATCCCTACTTCCCTGCACATAATGTGTCTTTTTTTTTTCCTGACTGTTTTTAAGATTGTTTTTTTCCTTATCACTGGTTTTCAGCAATTTGATTTGGACATACCTTGGGTGTGTTTTTTGTGCTTACATTGCTTAAGGTTTGCTGAACCCCTTGGACCTGTGGATTTATAGTTTTAAACAAGTTTGGAAATTTTCAGTTATTACATCTTTAAATATTTTTTCTGATCCTGCTCCTGTCTACGGGGATTCCATTTCACTCATGCTATACCGTTTGACAGTGTCTCACAATATCAAGAGCCACATGTTATTGAGACTCTATTTTTTTTGTCTTTTTTTTCTTTCTTTTGATTTGGGTTAGAAGACTTCTATTGCAATGCCTTCAAGTTCATTTGATTTTTTCCAGTGTCTATTGTGAACCTCATCCAGTAAAATTTTCATTTAAGATGTATTTTTTTGTTTCCAGAAGTTTCATCTGATCCATTTTTATATCTTACTCTCCTTATTATGTTCGTATTTTCCGTTAAATCCATAAGCATATTTATAATAGCTTTTTTCTAGTAGTTTACATAGGGAGGAGAAGTCCAATTCCAGCTATTCTGTCATGACTGAAAACAGAATTCTGGTCCATTCTGAAACAATTTTCAGCAACAAAAGTCCCTTTTTTCATGAAATCTGTCATATAAATACAATATAACAGAGGGACAAATGTGAGAAATTCAGGGCTTCACTGAATTTTAATTCATATCATTGGACATAATTCTTTTATTATTTATGGAACACCTTATGGCATCAAGTTTAAGAATCATTTTCTGGATCAGTTTTCATATATCTTGATAAAAGAAGGGACAAAACAACCTTGAGGGATGCTGGAAGAAAATACTAGACCTTCTCTTTATTTTCAACTCATTTTAATATTTCTATTTCTGGTAAATGTTTTACGATGGAAAATTGCATTAGAATGGCAGTACCTTTAAATGCTTTATAAGTAAATAAATATACATACGTAGGTTAAAGGACATGTGTTTAATTTTTTGTGTGTGCATATCAAAATGGCTTGAGGATGGCTGGGCGTGGTGGCTCATGCCTATAATCCCACCACTTTAGGAGACCGAGGTGGGTGGATCACCTGAGGTCAGGAGTTTGAGACCAGCCTGGCCAACATGGTGAAACCCCGTCTCTACTAAAAATACAGAAATCAACTGGGTGTGATGGCACATGCCTGTAATCCCAGCTACTCAGGAGGCTGAGGCAGAGAATTGGCTAGAACTCGGGAGGTGAAGGTCACACTGAGCCGAGATCGGGACACTGCACTCCAGCCTGGGCAACAGAATGAGACTCGTCTCAAAAAAAAAGCTTGAAAATCTCTGGACTAGATCAGAAGTCAGCAAACTTTTCCTGTAAAGAGCCACAGAGCAAATATTTTCAGTTTGGAGGTCATATGATCTCTGTCATAACTACTCAATTCTGCTGTTGTAGCATGAAAGCGTCTATAGATTACATATAAATGAATGAGCCTGGCTGTGTCCCAAGAAAATTTTATTAACAAAAATAAAAAGAAGGATGGATTTGGTCCTCAAGCCATAGTTTTCAATCCCTGGTCTAGGTGATTTCTGAAGACTCTTTCAGCAAGAGAATCTTCTGGCTCAACTTCAGCCTGCAAACTACAGAGGAGTAGAATGGAGTATCTAATACCTCTAGCTCCCTATCTATTCTTAAAGTGGTCATATAGTTAATACTTCTTCATCTTAACTTTCCTCCCACATACACACACACACTTTTTTTTTTTTTTTAGACAGTCTCCCTCTGTCAACCAATCATGCCATTGCACTCCTCTGTCATTGGAGTGCAATGGCATGATTTCGGCTCACTGCAGCCTCTGCCCCCAGTTTCAAGCAATTCTCCTGCCTCAGCCTCCCAAGTAGCGGGGACTATAGGTGCACAACACCACACCTGGCTAATTTTTGTATTTTTAGTAGAGACGGGGATTCACCATGTTGGCCAGGCTGGTCTGAAACTCCTGGCCTCAGGTGATTCACCTGCCGCGGCCTCCCAAAGTGCTGGGATTATAGGCTGAGCCACTGCGCCCAGCCCACATACTCCTTCTCTAATCTCTTCAAAAATCATACAGTGGTTAAAACTCAGACACTGGAATCAAACTGAAGTTAACATCTAACTCCACTAGGTAAAAACTACATAAAGCTAGGCTGAGTTTTATTATTTCTCTGTCCATTCATCGTCCTCCGTGTCCATCACATGTCAAACAGGAACTCCAATAGCTATCTAGCACAGAACTTGACACAAAGTATGTGCTCACTAATTGCAGAATTCCTTCCTCCCTAGTCTCCACTCTGGGCCCTTTTTGCCCGTCACAGAAAAAAAAAAAAAAAAAAAAGAGAGAGACAGAGGAGGGAGGAGTCTTTTTTTTATGTCTTTGATCCTTCTCCCCACAAGTTTTGCTTCTTGTGCTTCAAAAAGTGTAAAGAGAGGTTCCCTTACAGTTCTTTATGCCATGCCATGCACCAAAACGCCTTTCTTTCGAGATGAGGTGGGGCCGGGAAGGTAGATGACAGCCAGAACAATCTATACTACGTGCTTTAGGTGAGTGATCTCCAAAAGGAAGTGTCTACAACATGGATTTTACAAAATGATCCACTGGGGTACAGGCAAAAAATGTTAGAACTTCTAATCATATTTACTTTCCATTACATCCTTTACAAGTTCCCAGTTTTAATTAGCTGGGTGTGGTCGCGTGCACCTGTAATTCCAGCTACTCGGGAGGCTGAGGCAGGAGAATTGCTTGAACCAGGGAGTCAGAGATTGCAGTGAGCCCCCACTGCACCAGCCTGGGAACAGAGCGAGACTCTATCTAAAAAAAAAAAAAAAAAAAAAAAAAAAAAAAGATACTCAAGATAATTCATAGATCTCTCAAAAGAGTTTTCTTAAGGATTCATTCCTTTGATGCCAGTGCTTAGAAAGAAATAGAAAGCTATCACTACGCTTGGTGGGGCAGAGTTAAGCCATCTCTGGGTGTTTAGGGTGCACCTCCTGGACACCAGCACCCAGGAAAATGGTGACAGCAAAGGCAGTTTACTGCATGGTTATGTCCTCAGAGAAACAGCACAGAAAAGCACACAAATATAAAACCCTAACACTACAAGGCTTCACAGATGCAGACATCAATGGCACACCCAGGAAAAGTCCATGGGCTTTGGAACCTCCCAGACCTGAGTGCTAATTCCTGTTCTGCCCCTCTTTGCCTTAGTAGATTCCCAGAGAATTCATTAATTCTCATGAATCTAAAAAGTACAATATAGTCTTTATTTTATAGATGAGGACAGAAAGCTCAGAAGAATTAAGCAACTTACCCAACATCACACAGTTAAATAGTTAGGAAAGTGGTATTTCTCTCCAGGTTTGCTGAATTCCTCAGCCTAAACTCTGAGCTTCAGTTTCCTCATTTATAAAATGAGTTTAATAATCCTCACTCCATGAAGTTGTGTGGAGGAATAAATGAGATAATGTCAATAATGCATCTGGCCCATGGTAGGGGCTCCAGACATGTTAGTTTCCCTGAGGATGCAATCAGTGGTCTGCACAAATCCCAGCAGGCTTCCTGGAGGAGGTGTGACCTGAGAAGAATGGATCAGACTCAGAGGCCATTTTGTTTCAAAGCCTTTAGAAGTGTCTCCAGTTGCTCTGTGTGGTCAGGCTGCTGGGCACTATGCAAAAAAGAGAAATGCTGCCTGCTTAATAACAGTAATGCATTCTTTCTCTTATCCAGTGACTCAGTCTAGTAAAGGAATGTGTGATTCCGCTCTCAGTGCAAATGCTCAGTGCTGGGCACACACTGGGATGCCTTGACTCGTCTGCTTTGCAGAACAGCCTCATAAAAAGGCAACAGTGTCTTCCCTGAGAAGTTATAAGCTCTTTTCTGTTTGAATTGAAAGAGAAATATTTATCCAGGTAACGAAAGTCCTCCAGTAGGGCATTACATGAAGAAAAAAACAAAGAAACAAAGAAAAAGGAAAGAAATTTCTTGCTGTACTGAAGAATCAGTGCTTCCCTTTTGACATTTCATAAGGCATAGATTTGATAGCAACAGAAGCCCTAGAGACATACTGTTAGCTAAACTGCAGGTGAAGGCATATTGCTAAGGACACACCAGGGAGTGCTGTGTCCTTGCCTTTGTGATCCTAAGCACAGCTCTTGTCTATGGTATCTCTGGCATACCTCCTCTTCCCAAGATTAACTCATCAGGAACTCCAGTTTACTCTCTTAAAAAGGCATGTTTTAATCCCTGCCCCCAGCTCCCTTGCAGAACGCATCCTGGTTAGGCAATGACTCCAGGGTCTGAATTTAAGAAGTTTGGCAGGGCTCTTTGGGGGGGTCTTCCAAGAGCTGGTCCTCAATGTTTGTGGATGGCTTTTAAAAGTTACCCCCTTGCTCTTTGGAGAGAAGGAGAATGAGAGCACCTGCTATAGGGGTGGTGATGATAGGACCCAGAGGAGGTTTAGACAGGATTACACCATTTATTCAGTGCTACCAGCAGCCAATGGTGGGTTTCAATGAGTTGTTTGCCGCTGCAGCTTAGAATTTTTTTTTTTTTAAAGACAGAGTTTCACTCTATTACCCAGGTTGGAGTGCAATGGCGTGATCTCAGCTCACTGCACTTCCGCCTCCCGGGTTCTAGCGATTCTCCTGCCTCAGCCTCCCACGTAGCTGGGATTACAGGTGCCCACCACCACCCATACCCAACTAACTTTTTGTATTGAAAAAAAAAATTTTTTAATAGCAATTGGGTGGAATTCAGAAACTGATCATCTCTGAGATAAAATTTAAGGATCTCCTTAGTTACTTAGAGAGGATGTTAGCGTGCTGTGGATCTCAAACGTTAGCATACATACAATTTACCTGCTTGTTTTATTAAAAATGTGGATTCCTGTCCCTATCCCATAAAGTTCTGAACAACAGGGGAATCCATGAATTTAACAAGGCTTAGGTGTGATTTGAGGCAAAGGCTAGGGAGTCAACCTTTGTTAACCAATTAAATGAAAATAGACTGGAGTCAGGCAGTAGCATCTGCCTCTGTTTCAAATCCCCACTGGGTCATTTACTTGCTGTGTGCCTTTGAGCATGTGACTTAACCTCTCTGGGCCTTGGTTTCCTCATCTGTCAGGAGCTTTCACCATTTGGAATCCTAATTTACAGAATCTTTGAATAGCAGAGGAGCGAAAGCAGGAACCAACACCTGATTGAGCCCTTGTGTGGGCCAGGCACGTGACTGCCTACTCTCCAGCACCCTCTCAGCTAAGGATTTCTCCTTCTGAAGTCAGGGACTACATACTAAGTTGTTTGGGCTTCCAAAAAAAGTCTTCAAGGTGCTGGTTTCCAACCCATATTTTTTTTTAAATTGCATTTTAGGTTTTGGGGTACATGTGATGAACATGCAAGGTTGTTGCATAGGTACACATGTGGCAGTGTGATTTGCTGCCTTCCTCCCCTTCACCTATATCTGGCGTTTCTCCCCCTGCTATCTCTCCCCAACTTCCCACCCCCCCACTGTCCTTCCCCTATTTCCCCCCAACAGACCCCAGTGTGTGATGCTCCCCTCCCTGTGTCCATGTGTTCTCATTGTTCAACACCCGCCTATGAGCGAGAACATGTGGTGTTTGATTTTCTGTTCTTGTGTCATTGTGGAAGACAGTGTGGCGATTCCTCAAGGACCTAGAAATAGAAAATCCATTTGACCCAGCAATCCCATTACTGGGTATATATCCAAAGGATTATAAATCGTTCTACTATAAGGACACACGCACACGAATGCTCATTGCAGCACAGTTTACAATAGCAAACACCTGGAACCAACCCAAATGCCCATCAATGATAGACTGGACAGGGAAAATGTGGCACATATACACCATGGAATATTATGCAGCCATAAAAAACGATGAGTTCGTGTCCTTTGTAGGGACGTGGATGAACCTGGAAACCATCATTCTCAGCAAACTGACACAAGAGCCGACCCATATTTTAACATAAGGTAGGTGTAGCAAGTTCATTTTGTTCAACACACGTTGGTTGTTTTACAATGAATGTTTTATAATGAATGCTACTTGGTTCATTCATTCAGCAAGCATTTACTCAGTTTCTATTGTGTTCTTGGCCCTATGAGAAATGCCAGGGACCAGTATCCCATGGTGAATAGGCACAGTCTGCCCTCCCCAAGCTAGGCACACTGGGATTCCTTGCTGGATGCCAGGGCAAGCTAGTCAGAAGCAGCTGGAGCAGACACGGCCTCTCTCAGCCCACATAGTAAGGGAGAGGGAGAGAAAGGAGAGAGAGGGAGTAGTCAAGGGAGAGAAAAAGCTGGGAGCCCACTGCACCTGGAGTCAGGAGCTGACTCAGAGCTTGACTGCTTTAAAATGAGAAAGCCTCGAGCCAGGTGAATTCAAAGCACCTGCCTAGGATAAGTAGCAAAACAATGATGATGTGATATTTAAATACCAGCGCCCAGAATTCTTATCAGCTGTGCAGGCTTGTAGGGAGAAGACCAGAACAATGGAAAGGCTGCACATACCCGCTTAGACATTAATACTGAGGCATGACCAACCAGATTTTGTCCAAACGTCGTCCTCAGGACACTGAACACGCAACCACCTGTGGAGCTTCTTTCAAACTCAGCATGTTAGACCAGGCACAGTGGCTCTCACCTGTAATCCCAGCACTCTGGGAGGCTGGGGTGGGGCGATCACTCGAGCTACCCACAAGTTCGAGACCAGTCTTGGCATCATCGTGAAGCCCTCCGTCTCAACAACAACAAAAAAGTTAGGTGGGCATGCTGGCACGTGACTGTAGTCCCGGCTATTCAGAAAGCTGAGGCAGGAGGATTGCTTGAGCCCCGGAGGCTGCGGCTGCAGTGAGCCATGATTTTGACATTGCACTCCAGCCTGGGTGACACAGTGAGACTCCAATTCAAAAAAAAAAAAAATTCAGATTGCTACCCCTCTACCCGAAATTTACTGAGTCAAACCTCAAGGGGGAGGGTGTGTGAAGCACACATACAGTGAGACCCTCTCCTGCTTCCCACACCTGGTGAGCCTCTTCTATCTAGTCTGAGAAGTGCTACCACCTGCGATATCTAGACTATATATCATTTACAGTACACATGGGCCAGGGCACATGCCCTTGGCCCAGGAACAAGAGGACTTCTCCTTTGGGTAGGAAAGATAATAAAAATAATGATTGATAATATTTATTGAGCACCTTCTACCTTTCAGGGAGTGGTCCAGGTACTTTACATATAATTCATTTTATCCTGGCAGTAACTCTATTGTAGTATTTTTGTTACCTCCACTTTACTGATGGAGAAACAAAGAGTTCAGTGACTTACCCAAGGTCGTATTCGTTAGGAGTGCAGCCAAGATGCAGATTCATACCTATAGATGATACATTCAAGGATCCAACTTTTTGTAAAACAAAACAAAACAAAATAAAAGCAAGGTGTTGGCTGGGCGCAGTGGCTCACGCCTGTAACTCAAGCACTTTGGGAGGCCGAGGGGGGAGGATCACCTAACGTCAGCCTGGCCAACATGGCGAAACCCCATCTCTACTAAAAATACAAAAATTAGCAGAGCGTGGTGGCTCATGCCCGTAAACTCAGCTACTCAGGAGACTGAGGCAGGAGAATCAATTGAAACCAGGAGGCGGAAGTTACCGTGAGCCGAGACTGCGCCGCTGCACTCCAGCCGAGGCAACAGAGACTCCATTTCAAGAAAAAAAAATAGCAAGGTGTTAGCGGCAGTTGTTTTTGTATGGTGCAAATAGAGGTAAGTTCAGGTTTTGCCTGTGTGCCCTTCTAAGCTTTATTCAATAAATATTTATTTTTGGTAAGAAAACTAACCCAGGTTCATTTTTGTTATTCTGCACTTATTTGCCGTACAAATGCAAGTAAATATCTTAATCTCATTGAGACAAAAAATTCTCAAATGGAAAATGGGTATAAGTGTTATTGTCAGATTGAAATAAAGTATTTTGTATTCAATGGGTAACACAATTCAGTCACCTAATGGGTGCCAAACCTTAACGTCCTTTTCCTTTCTTCTTTTCCACCACTACTCTCTGCCCCCCAAGGTGTCATTGTTCTGCCTGTCACCAGTGACTGGAGCTAAGCTGCAATCTGAATCTACAGTTTTTCTAACCCAGGTGTGGTCCTGCGTCAACAGCATCAGCATCCTCAGGGGAACTTGACAGAAATGCTGAATCCAGGGTCCTTGCCCAAGACCTGCTGTGTCAGAATACGAATTTTTTTTTTTTTTTTTTTGAGATGGAATTTCACTTTTGTTGCCCGGCTGGAGTGCAATGGTGCGATCTCAGCTGACTGCAACCTCCATCTCCCAGGTTCAAGCAATTCTCCTGCCTCAACCTCCCGAGAAGCTGAGACTACAAGGCACATACCACCATGCCCAGCTAATTCTGCATATTTAGTAGAGACAGGGTTTCACCATGTTGGCCAGGCTGGTCTTGAACTCCTGACCTCAAGTGATCCACCCGTCCTGGCCTCCCAAAGTGTTGAGATTACAGGCATGAGCCACTGTGCAGGGGTGGAATATGATATGCATTTTTAAGATCCACAGGTGATTCTCATGGAAGCATGGGTTAGAGAATTGGTCCTCAAAGGGAGGAGTGTTAGGGAATAAAAACAATGATCTACCCGGGGTGTGGAAAGAAAATACAGTACTTCTAATCTCTAGCCCACCTGGGAGGGGAAGAGGGATTTAAATCCTTGGAAAATTGGTGGCCCAGCCACTTTCTCTTGCATCCCCTCAGAGAGGATACATGCATTTCACTCCGCTCCTCCCTGGAGAGTACTGAAGGGGCAACTCTGCCCCTACACGGGGTGCCTGACATCATCAGTCCCCTCTTTGCATATTCTTCTTTTCCATTTTTTTTTTTTTTTGAGATAGAGCCTTGCTCTGTCGCCCAGGCTGGAGTGCAGTGGCACCATCTCAGCTCACTGCAACCTCTGCCTCCTGGGTTCAAGCAATTCTCCTGCCTCAGCCTCCCAAGTAGCCACCATGCCCGGCTAATTTTTGTATTTTTAGTAGAAATGGGGTTTCACCATGTTGGCCAGGCTGGTCTCGAACTCCAACCTCAGGTGATCCGCCCGCCTCCGCCTTCCAAAGTGCTGGGATTATAGGTGTGAGCCACTGCACTCGGCCCCTCTTTGCATATTCTGTAAATTCCCTCTTCTGTCCTTCCCTCGTTTTACTAGTCTTGCAAAAGCTAAATCCTGGTCAACTTCAATAGTCAGCCTGCCCAGTGCCTGCCCCAGGAAGTTGAATGTGGCTGAGAAACACACTCAAGTTAGCTAGCAGTCCTGTCCTTAAATTCAGATTGAAATTCAGATGAGTCCTAATCCTACCTGCCACGTTTTCCCACTCCTGTCTTTTACTCTGCCAGATGATTTTCCCTCATTCCTCCCTCCCAACCCTCAGCTAAGGACCTTTGTCTTATGCGTCACATTGTGAGAAGACACCTGTCCTTTGTCAAGGCTTGTCTCGCCTAGATTTTGTATTTAGATATTTCAGTCCCCTGGGAATCAAACCAGCTCACTGCTGATTTTGTGCTCTTTCCAGCACACAGCACCACCAGTTCCTCATCAATGTTGAATACAAACACCACGTTTTTAGAAACTGCCTTTTTCCCAAGCACCTTATTAATCCTCAAAGCATTTGTAAGCTTTAAAAATTTTTTGCTAGCAGCATGCAACATGAGGGCCAGGCCACGGCTCACGTTCCCCATTTTCCAGACCAGGAAAACTGGGACGCCCGGCTGAGTTCCTGGTCCAGCATCATACAGTGAGTGAAGTCAAAGTTGGATGGTGTTGTTCCCTCTCTAAAACCCACTGCCTCTTTGGGACTGTATTCTAACAAAAGAGAATAAAAAAATGCAAAATACAAAGACTTCTCCCCTGCCCCCCAAATGAGTATGAATATCGCAGCTGAAAGCTATCTGCAAATGTGGCTGGTTTCAAGGCCCAGAATGGAGGATGGGGGCTAGGGGAAATGGGGAGAGGTCAGTGTTCTTCTCCAATGAGACTTTTTGAAATAATGAAAATGCCCCAGATCTGGGCTGGCTGCAAAGAGCTTTCAGTTCCTCTAGTGACTCTCAAATACCAGTCATTCTGAGCATACTCTGTGAAGAATTACCTGAGCCTATTAAAAATACATATTTCTAGGCCCTAACTGAGATGTACTGAATCAGATTCTCCAGGGTCAAATCAGAAAAATCTTTATCTTTTTTAGCACACTCCTTAGCTGCTCCTGATGCTAGGTTTAGGAACCCTCGGCTGGGAGCAGTGGCTCATACCTGTAATCCCAGCACTTTGGGAAGCCGAGGCAGGTAGATCATCTGAGGTCAGGAGTTCGAGACCAGCCTGGCCAACCTGGTGAAAACCTGTCTCTACTAAAAAATACAAAAATTAGCTGGGCGTGGTAGTGGGTGCCTGTAATCCCAGCTGCTCTTGAGACTAAGGCAGGAGAACGAGTTGAACCTGGGAGGTGGAGGTGGCAGCGAGCCGAGATCATGCCGTTGCACTCCAGCCTGAGTGACAGAGTGAGATCTGTCAAAAAAAAAAAAAAAAAAGAAGAAGAAGAAGAAAAAACGGAACCCCTGAGTCCTTGTCATTATGAATCTATTTACAGTGTATCCTAAAATGGCAAAGCTGTCATGGGCTTAGAGATAATTTAGTCTCCCACCCCTCGTTTTACAGATAAGAAAACCGAGTCTCAGAGAGCAGAAGGGACCTGTCCAAGTTCCTGAACCCAGAGTTAGCTAACTGTGGTCCATTTAACTTTGAGTTACCGTCCCAGATCTAATTTTGGAATCAAATTAACATCACTGAAATTCACTTATCTATTAACTTTTAAAGGGCTAAAAAGCAGAGTCAGGTTTCTCATTTAGAGTCCTCCCTCCCATAAAGCAGGTCACCTGTGTCAAGAACAGGCTTCCTCACGCCCCACAGGCTTTGTAAAGTGACTTCCATCCTGAACAGGAACTGCATACATGGGAACCTATTTTTCTGTGTTGGTCTTTGGGTAATCGGCAGAGTTGGTCCTGAGATGAGGTGTCAGGTCTCAGGAATGTTTTGCTCACCCTCTCTCATTGTCCCATTCTGTTGGATCCCTGTAACTAGCTTGAGTCTTCCAAACCCTGCGTGCTCAAGCAACCTTCTTGTCAGACCCTGAAAGGCACTCACCTGCACCAAACAAAAACAAATATATTCTGCACACGCTTTCTCTCTGTGGCAGGTTTGCAAACAGAGGTTGTACGCACTGGTTGTATGCATCCTTAAAAAAGAAACACAAAAAATATGTGTCCCTGGCCCAGGAACAAGAGTCACTGAGAGAGAATAAACATGCCACCACCTGAGTGGGTGACAGATTGGGAGGACAATTACAGCTGGTACTGCCTGGAAGTCCCTGGCAAGGTCTCTCCCTCTAAGGATTTGTCCCTAGAGTCTTTGGGACAAGCTGCCGAGCCCTGGCTCATTTATCTTGCTGCTGGCAAGCTGAGTGCTTCCCCAGGCATCCACCTCCATTAGACTGACCAGTCTCCTGGGAGCACTGAGCCCAGCATGGTGCCTGGCACTTGGGCATTCACAAAAATATCTGTTGAACCTTTGAACTGAACTTACCCTTTTTGATAACCATATGTTTCTTGGACAGCTTCCAACCTAACAGCTGATGCTGAAGTGAGCTCAATTGAATTTTTATCCAACAAGCATGGAATGCCTGCTGTTTGCTGTAGCTGTATTAAGATCAATGAAATCAAGGCCCTCCTCACCAAAGGCTGCAATCTAGGGGAAAACGCAGACACACGTTCACGTCATCCCTACATAAAGCAGCCTGTGAGAAATGTAATTCAAAGAAGTAGAGAGAGGCAGGTGGCACAATGGGAAGACTCCTGCTTGACTTTCTTCTTTACAGCTTATCCAAACACCTCCTAAACCACTGCAGATTACTTATTGACTACTTCACCCACTGAAAATGGTAAACTCAAGGGTGGACATCTTTGTTTCTGTTCACGGATCTTGCTAAGCACCAGAAGAGTTCCTGGCACATAGTAGGTGATTCACAAATTCTTCCGACTCATGTTCAAATCAGTTAGGATCTAGATTCCAATCCTTTTTGCTGTCTATTGACCGCTATGTAACCTAAGATCACTTTTGTTTTCTGGCTCCAATTTCCTCCTCAAAGAATCAGGAATACTAGCAGTTGCTATGAGAACTAAAGTTTATAAAAATGTGGTTCTCAACTGATGGCATTAAAGTTGTTGCAATCATCATACATCATATTGATCTTACTATTTTTAAAAGGCACAGTATCTTGGGAGAAAATGTGATTAATTATGGCTGGGCATGGAGGCTTAAGCCTGTAATCCCAGGAGGATCACTTGAGCCCAGGAATTCAAGACCAACCTGGGCAACATGGTGAGATCTTGTTTCTACAAAAAGAAAAATAAAAAAGAAAAAGAGAAAAGGCTATTAATTGTAACTGGGTACACTGATTTTATTTTTCAAATATCCATTAGGTTTCTGTCAGCCACAAGTAGTAACAGGAAAGTAACAAGGAAACCAATTCATGGTGGCTTAAACAAATAGGGATCTATTTTTTCCCATAGAACAAAAAATCTGCAAGTGCCTTCACAATGTCAGGGCTGGTGTCTCTGCAATTCTCTCGATCAGAGGATGGCAATCTATGGCCCCACAAGCAAATTCAGTGCACTGAAAGGCTATTTTGGAACACAGCCACCCTCTCTTGCTTATGTATTGTCTGTGGTTTTTGAACTCCAATAGCAAAATTGAGTAGATGCAACTGAAACTCTATAGTGCATACAGCCTAAAATATTTGCTAAAATTGTTATTATTTACCATTTATGGAAAAAGTTTCCCAACCCCTGTTCTTGATGATTGCTTAATTAATGGTCACACTTCCAGGCAGCACATCTGCTTTCAATACAAGAAGAGTCCTAGTTACTCAGGAGGCAGAAGCAGGAGTATCACATCTGCCTGGAAGTTTGAGGGTCCAGGAGTTTGAGCTATGAAGGCATCACTGCACTCCCGCCTGAGTGACAGAGTGAAACCCTATCTCTAAAAAATAACCACCCTCCCAACCAAAAAAAAAAGACAGACACACAAGAGGGAAGAGATGACACAGCCATATTTGTCTCTGTAATCAGGAAAGCAAAAGCTTTTCCAGAAAGCCAAGCTGACCCCCCTTTTCATCTCATTGGTCAGAACGGGGTCACATGTCCACCTCTTGCTGAAGAGGAGTCTGGGAAAGCAGGAAATGGATTGTTATAATTGGCTAGACCTGACCTGGCCAATAAGGGCGGCACAAGCCACAGATGCCTCTTCAGCTCCTGAAATGTGGTTGGTCCGAATAGAGATGTGCTGTAAGCACAAAGTACACATCAGATCTCAAAGACTTAACACAGAAAAACAGAATGAAAAATATTTCATTAATTAATGAGTGAATCTATTTTAAATCAATTATACAATAAAATGTTAATATTTTGGATACAATGGGTGAAATAAAATATACTATCAAAATCAATTTCAGCCAGGCACGATGGCTCAGCCCTATAATCCTAGCACTTTGGGAGGCAGAGTTGGGTGGATCACTTGAAGTCAGGAGTTTGAGACCAGCCTGACCAACATGGTAAAACCTCATTTCTGCTAAAAAAAAAAAAAAAAAAAAAAAATACAAAAATTAGCCAGGCATTGTGGCAGGCACCTGTAATTCCAGCTACTCAGGAGGTGAAGGCAGGAGAATTGCCTGAATCCAGGACCCAGGAGGCAGAGATTGCAATGAGCCGAGATCATGCCCCTGCCCTTCAGCCTGGGCAACAGAGCAAAACTCTGTCTCAAAAAAAAAAAACCCCAAAAAGCAGCTTCACCTGTTCCTACCTACTTTTCCAATGTGGCTACTAGAAAATTTTAAATTTCATACGTGCCTCACATTTGTGGCTCTCATTACATTTCTATTGGACAGCACTGTGCTAGACTAATCATGATCTGTTGCCTGAGGCTGGGAAAATTGCTACCCTCAAAGACAGGAACATTCTGTTGGCAAAGAGAAAAAGGAAACAGACATTGAATAGCAACTAACGGAGTTTGCTGTAATTCATTTATTAAAAAGAAGAAAAAAGAAACGAGTACCTAGTCCGTGCCAAGCTCTATGCTAGATGCTTGGAATACAACAGTGAGCAAAAACGGATGTGGTCCTTGCCCTCATGAAACTTAAAAAGTGTTCCTGGAAAAAGTAATATTGGACCTGGACTTTAGAATGGGATGGGCCTTGACAGGCAGTGACAGGCAGTGCTGGGTGAGATGGGCTGGAGGGCATTGCAGGCTGAGGGAGAGGAAAGGGAAGGTGTTTGGGAAGTGGAAGGAGGCAGAGTGATGGGGAAGGCTTCCCACCCAAGACACTGCCCTCCTCTTCCTGTTCCATCCTAACCCAAGCATACTCATCTTCTGTCCACTTCCCAAACACACCATGTCCTTTCCCACCTTTGAGACTTTGCATGTCCTACTCCGCTAACTGGAATGCCCTCCCTCCTCTCTGTCTCCCTTTTAGAGAAAGTCTATTGTGCCTTGAGGCTCAGTGCAAGCATCCTCTCTTCCAGGAACATGTCCTTGGTCCCTGATCCAGAGGTTAAGCTCTACTTTCTTTGTGCTCTGATAAAAATACTAATAGTAGTATAGTAGTAGTAAACATCTATTGAGCACTTACTATATATCTGACACCATGCTAAATACTGTATATGAGTAAACTGAGTTTCATGATCACCATATTAAGTAAACATTTTAGCCCATTATCCAGATGAAGAAAGTTTCGAAAAATTGACAGTTCCATTTCACATGATCTAAGCTAAAATTTTGAACAGAAAAAAAAAGGAGGAGGCTGTGAGGTAGATTAAAAGTGGGAGAAAAGGCATCTTAGAGAAGGAACAGAGAGGATGTGGTGCTTCTCCAGCGGGGGAGGCAGATGGGGCAGGGGTGAGACCGGGAAAGAGGTGGGGAGAAGAAAGCAAAGAGCAGCTGGGGAGGAGCCCGCATGCTCCACAAAGACGTGTGAATTTCACTCTGGGGATAATTGGGTGTCAAAGACAGAATCTACACAGATGAAGGGCATTACTAAATTTGAATTTTAGAGATGGGAGGACATTTAGAAGGTGACCCTTTCCATCCAGACAAAAGATGATGAGTAGAGGAAGAAGGGCAATGGCAGCAGGAACCGAGATTTGTGAGGGCTTTAGGAGTGCTCTTGGCAGTCTGGTGAATAATCAGCACATTAGGGTGGGAAGATGAGATTCACTCCCCAGCTGCCAACAGGGCTGTATCACTCATCTCTGTTAACCACATCACCCTTCAATTCGGTGTTCGCCTTCTTGTTTCACAGAAGAGAACGCTGAGCCCCAGACAGGACACATGGCCTGCTTAAAGTCACATCAAGAATCTCACAGCAACAGAAAGTCTGTCTGGCTTTTCCAAAGCCCAAGATCTTGTCACAATTGTATACTGCCTGTAATCCAAAACCGGGACATGATTCTCTATCCTCAGCAGTTCTTGTTTGTCAGACATTAAATATGGGATGACTTGCTGATCTATCCAGTATTTAAATGCTTCACTCATCTGCAAAGCATTTTGCACTCCTGGGTCTTCACGTGGCTTTCATTTTATTCCCGTTTGGGCAGATACCATGCCCAGATGGATAATGGGACCTCCATGTACTGTACTGAGCCTCTCATGGTAAGAAAGTTATTTATCTTCCCTGACCTTGAGCTCCACCCCCACCCCACCCATCCTCTTCTTATCCATCTCCCTCCTTCTATACGTCAGTCAGCACAGA